AAACATGATGCACACGAGTATCTAAAACGTGGCTTATTCCTTTTGCTTACTAGATTGACAAATTCTAGAAGCACATGATCCAAGAAAAAGTCACACCATGAATAGATCATTCTCTTCACTCTTCTTAGGCCTTTTGAGTAGTACGAGGCTTGGCTCTTCTCTTGTAAAAATAGAGAATATGTGGCTGTAAGGATTCACAAATAATACAAAAATTTCAGAGAGAAAAAGATACTAAAACACTTCAAATACTATGAATCTAATAACACACACATAAATACATGATATATAAAGTGTTTCTCATATCTTTTAGTTTTTTTTCGAAATCCATTATGACTTTAATATTGGCATAATTTCGAAAGGCACCATGATATCTCCAATAATCTTGACCGGTTTTTGTGCGATATGGATATATCTATGGATTCATCTAAAAGAAAGAACAATCTGATAGCTAAAGCTTATCACTACAAGAAAACACAATTTTAGCGTCGAATGTAGGTTGACGCTAATATAGCGTCGATTTAGCGTCGTTTTTGCATCGCCATTGAATTTCGACGCTAAATCGTCAGTAAATAGGGATAAAATGATTCGACGCTAAATCGACGTTAAATAGCGTCGAATTTGAGTCGGGACAGACTTTTCGACGCTAAATCGATGCTAAAATTGCTTTTATTGATTCATGCTTTCTTAACTTGATACAATGGAGCTTGAAGCTCTTTTATACACATTTCTGAGATAGGTTTAAGAAAGGGATCACCTTGGATCTATTGACAAGTGTCAGGCATCTACAGCTGAATCTTCTAAAGATTGTAGAGGCGCATACATGTTGGATAAGGACAGCTGACTATCCGTACGCTTAGCTGGCCTCTCCTGCTTTTCCTTTTACCCTGCAAAACTTCTCTTGTCGTGACTTGAAGGATATGAAGATGAAGATTGTTGTTGTTGTTGCTCTACGTTTTGTTTTGCATAGTTACCCGAACTGGGCTTCATCATTTCCAGGCCCATTGTTTTGTTTTAGGCTTTAACATTAACAT